CTGGAGCGAAAACATTTCACTTGTTCTCTTAGGCATTCGCAGCGGCATCAAAGCTGACTTGCAATGCGCACCAGCAGAACTGGTGTACGGCACGAAGCTTAAGTTACCAGGAGAATTCGTTTCATCTCTTGCATCGTCGGGTATGCCTCTGCTAACTTTGCGTCCTCCCTAGCTCAAAGCATGCGTTCAATGCGCCCGACCCCGCCCCATGAACAGACTAGAGAAGTGCAAATGCACAACGGACTCTCTACCTGCACTCACGTCTTCCCCCGCACCGACGCAGTGCGGCGCCCTCTCCAGCCTCCCTACACTGGTCCTTTCTTAGTTCTGCAACGGACTCCGAAACATTTTACTTTAGACCAGAACGGTCACCGAACGACGGTGTCCATCGACCGCCTCAAAGTGGCTTTCTTTGACGAGCCACTTGCAGCCCATCCTAATGCTCTCGCACAAGCACCCGCACCTGTGGTGACTTCCCGAGCACTGGATATACAGGAACCCTCCGTACCCGTTGACACGCAACCTATCCCGCCGCAACCCCAGGCAACCGACCGACGCGGTAGACAGGTTAAACTTCCGGTCCGTTTTTTAGATTTTGTAAACGCTTGCTATTTTCAGTTACACGCTCTTTTCTTCTTTAGTGGTTATCCTGCGTCTCATCCACAAACGCTTTGCAAAATCGACAAAAAAGCCAAAACATTTTGAAAACCTAAAAGGCGTATTTGCTTCTATCATGCATGCCATGTTCCCCTCCGGCGTCAAGCCACTTACCGACCCTTGCCCACCCCCTCTGAGTTCTACTTTCCAGAAACCCAACCGCCGGAACTGCCAAGGCAACGCTCAAGTGACTCGCCAACCGGCACAACTCAACCCTGGAGCGGTTCGCCAGCCGTCCCAAAGCCCCTTCCCTACCCAAGGAACAGACAGTCGCCCTCGACCGCAGACACCCACGAACGGATTGGGCCCCAAACGCCGCCTAGGCATTGCCGACGAGGACGCCGGATTTCTTCGTGGGACGAGGACCGTTGACTAAGGTGCGGTGGGGGAGTGACACCTCCCAAGGGCACCGTCGGGTCTGCAGCAAAGGGAAGGTCCAGTCGGCCTTTATTCTGGACTAGCCAGACATTTTGCACTCCCACCAGCCCGCCCAGACGGCCCACGGATGATGCACTCTGGTCCACACGATCGTCATAAATAATAACAAGTAAAAGCCTGCACACACCGGACGCTGCTACACATCCCACTTTGGAAGCCCTTAATCAAGCCCCTTCAAGTATTCGCATTTACCTTCACCTTTAGTTTTCCCCCACTAACGGCCCCTAGGGGGAGGCCTTGTAGTGTACAGGAAAACATGCTCTTTCAGTATTTTGTAACATTGGATTTTACGGTTGTTTTAACCTTCGAAACGTCCATTTGCCTTACTGACTGCACGTCCGCTGTCACAAACCGTTTTGGTGAGTACCACGCTGCACGTTTCTCCCTCTGTCTGATTCGCTTCCTATTCTTATGGCCTGCACAATATACGTTGGGTTCAGTCGCCTCCGACTTCTAAACGGTCGTATTTGACACGTCCGACGTGTCTTGCTTACCGACTAGTATCCCAGGCTCTGCCCAACAAGTGCCCTGAGTGCTGTGTTTGCTCCGTTCCCCTAACTAGAGCGTCCACGGTGTCTTTCTTTTATAGCTAGATTACAGGAAATCGTTTAATGTACCAATAAACGTTTCCCTGCAACTCGATCTGTCTTCTCGAATCGCTTTCCGGGCTCCCGGTACAGGCGACTCTCTAAATTGGTGCCCCCGAATCCGGAACAATCTTAACGCCGGATATTTCGAACTTTTCTTTGGTGAGCTCGTTCCATTTATTTTTCAGATTTTTCGGTTTATTTTTGCACAAGGTAGCCTATTTTTGCGTCCTTTTTCTAGCCATGTATTCTGTAGACCCTAAGGTAGATCCTCTGCTAAGCGTTGTATCTCTCTCCGTGCCACCTTTTTGGGACATGGAACCTCTTTTGTGGTTCACCTAGCTTGCAGCTGAGTTTGACAACCATAGAAGCACTTCTGACTACGCCAAGTATTGCAAGCTCCTGTCCTATCTCCCCAAGGAGATATCAATGCAGGTTCGTGACGTTATCCTTTCTCAGATCGAAAACCGCTATGAGGCTCTCAAGGAGGCCACGATCAAGCGTGTTATGCCCTTCGAGAAAGTTCGCTTGCAGCAGCTTTTCAAGGATCCGCAGCTGGGCGACAACCTGCCCTCAACCCTGCTACGGGTGATGCAGCAACTCCTTGGTTCCTCATCCATGGACGAGACTTTACTTCGCGAACTATGGCAACAGCGGCTACCGGAAAATATGCAAGCGATTCTCGCTACAGTGAGCTCCGTTTCGCTCACTCAACTAGCGGATTTAGCGGATCGAGTTATTGAACTATCACAGCCACAAGCCAACGCCAGCAAGACCAATGCAGTAGCGTCCCAGGGCGCTTCTATCACGGGCTTACAGTCAACTATAGAAGCCCTGCAAGCACAAGTTGCGACACTTAGTCGCCAGGTTCAACAGTTTACTATGAACCCACACGTCATAGCCGATCAAAATCGCCCTGCAAACGTTCTAAGTCTAGGAACAGGCATGCTAGCTGTTGGTACCTCCAGCGTTTTGGTACCGCAGCTCATAAATGTGTCAAGCCCTGCAACTTCGCCGAGAAGCAGGGAAGCTTCTCGGCCGGTCCGTAACGGCGACGGACGCGACCGGCCAACGCCAAAGTCGCCCCATCCACGTTAGGGATTTAACTTCCGGCACCCAGTTTCTAGTCGACACTGGTGCCGAAGTTAGTGTTATACCCCGTAGCCCAGATGAGGTCGTTTCACCATCACCGATCAAGCTGCATGCCGCCAATGGCACACCAATCGCAACTTTCGGCGAAAGCTGCTAACGCTCAATCTAGGCCTCCGGCGTACCTTTTGCTGGCCTTTCATAATGGCTGCCGTGCCCTTCGCCATCATAGGCATAAACTTTCTTCAACGCTTCGACCTCATCGTCGACGCTAAAAGTAAGAAGAATATCGACTCTAGGACACAGCTCAGTGTTATCGGAACTAGTGCCAACGTGGCTGCTATCACTCCCATTCGTGTCCTACCTCAAGCTTCACAACCTGTTATAAAACTTCTCAGCGTTTCATTCGTAGGGTAACGCGAGGACTCGAAGGCGTTTACACTTATTTAGATGACATACGCAACGCCAGCTCTTTTGACGAGGAGCATCTTCTTCACCTCGACGCTCTCTTCCAACGCTTAACACAGCATGGGGTTACCGTCAACCCCGATAAATGCGAGCTTGGCCAAAGTTCCATCGACTTTCTTGACCACCGCATATCCGCCTCTGGTATTGAAGCTCTGCCAGACAAAATCCAGGCACTGAAGGAC